GTGGTTGTAGTTAACCTACCCCGCTTAAGAGCAGACTAGATCAGTCTAAGTCATCGCGACCATCTAATGGGAGATCCAGGAAGCGAGCTGTTTTGACGGTTTTAGGTCATAGGGACAGTCGGGTTAGATGTGCCAGTCACAACAGCTGGTTCTACGCACCGGAGTTGACCTGTCCCCACTGGGTAGGAGTTCAAGAATTTTCACGCGGTAAAGCATGCCTGTCGTAAGCGGCGCTTAAAATTCCAAAATTCGCGCGACAGTCGGGTCTTTATATCGGAACGACCTGGATTCTTATCGCGCCAAGAACTGTCACCCTTTCGCAACTCTCAAAGCAACCGGATGTACGCACCGGAGTTGATGCGAGTTTTCTTCGGCTTAGGGCTGATACCTTTTCGGCGATTTAAACCCGTTTATGTCAGCATGTAACATTGGTCATTACCATCGCCCTGCTATAAGGTGTGGACAGGCGTTAACGAACACAAACTTAATGAGTCGGCGCTAGGAGTTTTCGAGAGCAGAGGTTTGTGGAAGACTTTTGGTGCTTTCTACATTGACAACGACAAACAACTGTTTATTGCTCAACTTCTACAAAGTTTGCTAGGCAACCTTCCCTCCTGCGTCTGTGCCTTCTGCCGAACTTTTGTATCTGCCCTCATATTGTCATATATGTACATATGCATATGTACTTAAAAATACCTATGTACATGTATTTATACTCTTCAATGCAAACTATCGGAAACCGGCAACTAAGCATGCAACCTCAATTCTCAATTTTAGCCGACAATGATATTTCACTTGCCGACTGCACCGCCGAGTGCTAATTGTGGCGGCGAAAAGCGAAAAAGCGAAAAAGCCCCAAATGCGTTGGATGCTATTGTTGCCACAAAGACGATGCAGACAGCAAAGACTGAAGTAAAATTAGCAAACACATATAACAGAACAACCAATAACCGCTCACTCACTCGCACACAACCACAAACACTCACACACTCGTGTGCTCAACCGGCGAGAAAAATCAGTTATAATGATAACAACGATTTGCCGCTACTAGTTGTGAGCCAGCCAGCTGCCAATTCGATGGTTACTTGCTGCAGTGTTGTTGTATCAACGATGATGACGAGGAGGGTGATGAATCCGCCAATGGCTAGAGCAAACAAGGGCCGACGGAAATGTGGTTATGTAGTTGATAGCTCTGCTTATTAGCTGGCGGTTGATAATAAAAGTTACTGCAATATATATGATAATGTGCATGTATGTATGTATGTAAGCCTATGTATTTGCAGCCTACAACATACTTTACACTGCAGAGTACACACAAACAAACATGCATATACATACATATATAAATATGTTTCTATTCACCCATCGAACAACACACACATCATAATTCAGTGGCATACTGAGCTCCGGCTACTGCCACTGGGGAACGATTGCAACTTTAGAAACATTTTGATATATTTTTAGATTTCATGTGCGCACAATACAGAGCATTATGCTCACCACTTAGCGCGTAGGTAGGGGAGGCAGCGGGGAGAAAGTCGGCGAAATGCGCACCCACCGCTACAAAAAGCGACGAAGCGTTGAGTGGCAGCGTACAGAGAGTGGCATACACACATGAATAAACATACATTCACACACAAATGCTGTGACTCCATCCAAACAACGGTGCAAAAAACACAAGTGAAGCGTAGCGCGCAAGCGTACACATACCATAGCGCTCGGGTGCTGCCTACACACCTGTGCCTCAGGAACAACAGCGTCGGCTTTTTTTTTTCGTTTGAGGAAAAGCAATGAATTTGTCAGCGCAAAGCATGAAAAGCCTGCAATATGTACATATGTACATACATACATATATATATACTGTAAGGGTTATGGGAGATAAATTCTGTTACATATAGGCTTGGTATACATTCGATGGGATGAACAAAAGTTCGTCAGGTTGACCAGAGAACAAAATAAATTTATACGTAATCTTCGTCCTTTTCTATCTTTCCTACGTAATCACCATTGATTTCAATGCATTAGCCTATAAATCTACTTCTGAAAGCCGTCTTCAAGATCTTGATTCTTAAGCTGATCAAGTTCAGCGTTAACCGCATAAGTCACCCTTTTAATTTTTTAATTTTAATTTAATTTAGTTTTTTTTAATTTTTTTTAATTTTTATTTTTTTTTATTTAATTTTTTTTTTTTTTTTAAATTTTTTTATTTTTTTTTTTTAATTCTTTATTATTTTTAAATTTAGTTTATATTTTATTTAAATTTTTCTTTAATTGTATTTAATTTTTTTTAATTTATTTTTATTTTTTTTTTAATTTTTTAAAATTTTTTTTTTTTTTTAATTTTAATTTTTTTAATTTGTTAAAATTTTAACTTTTTTTTAATTTTAATTATTTTTAATTATTTATTAAAATATTCTTTTAAATTTTTTTTTCATTTTTATTTTTGTTTTAATTTTTTATTTTTTTAAATTTTATTTCAATTTTTCTTTGATTTTATTTGAATTTTTCTTTAATTTTATTCAATTTGTTTCTTAATTTTATTCAAATTTTTTCTACAAGTTTTTTATTTATTTATTTTTTGAGATTTTTTTTAAATTTTTCTATTTTTTTTTTTTAATTTTTTTTTTAATTTTTTTTTTTTTTAAATTTCTTTATTTTTTTTAATTTTTTTTTAATTTTTTTTTTTAATTTTTTTAAATTTTTTTTTTAATTTTTTGCGAAATCGGTTATCTTAATTTTTCTCCAATCGGGACAAGTGTTTCTGTGAGAGGCGTAATATTTTCTTCAAAAAGACTGAAAGTTTTCGATGCATATTTGACATAAATCGGATAATGCAAAATAAAGATTTCAATTTTATACAAAAAATAATGGATGACTTTTTATTTGACTTAATACTTATGTTTTTCCAATATCGAGTATTTTTGAAGCCAGGATTCGATATCAGGTGGGCAAAAAAGCGAAATGAATGCGAAAATCAATGACGCTCACAGAGACGGAAGAAAATCCTCGGTTGGACCCTGTGGACTACCGAAATACAGGTATAGAAGCTAAAAGTCTGGAAGCCCCCTAATGCCACATATGCAATACTTACACAGTGCAACAACAATTTGTAAGCAATATCCACGGGAATCACATCCCTAGCACATTAGGACTTCAAACCGCGCCATATTTCAGAACAGTTAGACAGGACAAGCTACCGACAACATCTAAACGCCATTTAAAGAGAGTCTGTCAAACCCTATATAAACTCTCCTGTATATGGCGTGATCGGAATCCAACCGAGCAGACGAAGAGTTCGATTAATTTGTTACTTGTTGACCTAAAAAGGGTTAGGACGCCGAGAGGGTGACGGCCCTTGGCCGGATAAAATCCGGGTCAACTCCGGTGCGTAGAACATATGGAGAGTCTCCACACGACACTAACCATCTCTCCCGCTGAACTGATCCCGTCGAAACAGCACGCCTCCTGGACCTCCCGTTAAGTGACCTTGGTGTCTTAGATGAAACTAGCCGGTACTACAACAACAACAACGAATAGACCGAGCTACCTCACAAGATCCGAGTAATACTGGTACAATTCAAGCCTGTATACTGTAGCAAACTCGATTCTCCTATGTATTCAGACTTGAAACCGACATACTTCAAGTATGTCCCGCCGCCCTACACTAAACACCTGTTTGCATGCCCATCTAACACCCTTCTGCCGCTGTTCTAAACCCGTCAAAACAGTTCTCTGAAGGTAGGCTCGAGTGAAAGAAAAACTCTGAAGCTTTAGGAGGCAACAAAAAATACAATAAAAATGCACTGCACGCCAAAGCGATGACAATAGCAATGGAAAAGCATTATATTGGAAACATACCGAATTTGATCTACAATTTGGCACAGGAGTGTGTATGTATGTACATACATAAGCGTTTCATATGTGAATTGAAGTCCACAAACGGGGAGATATAGTTAAGCATGGCACTTGTGGCAGGTACATATGTATGTACATAAAGCATTTGGTGTGCAGGTGGTAAGGGTTGTTCGTAATAGTATTGTACTAACAGCAGCAAATTGCCTGTCGTCGGCATCGGGTGATCGCACTGGCATTACACTGTTATACAACCGGCGGAGGTAATCAGCCAAGCGTGAACCCCAAGCAGAAAACATCGAACAACTAGAGCAGGCTTACAAATGAAAAATACCATAACAACCAACACTAATAAAACAACAACAAAATCTATATGTACATACATACATAAGAAAATAATAATAATTAAATGTATGTATGTATGTATGTACATTAAAACCTTTATGCATGTACATATGTATATATTTGCATTACACAATTGCAGTGTATAGTTTCATATGTACATATGTACATATATTTGTATATACATATGTATATATATATGTATATATGCATACATACAGTACAATATTTTATATGTATAATGAAATATAATTATAGTGTTCATATATACATACATACGTAAAGCATGAATAAATAAACCTGGTAACTACATATATATGTATGTATGCATGTATGTAGTATGCACTTGTACTTTTGAAAAATTGGAAAATAATTTACTTTTTATTAACGTAAATAAATACATAATTACAAAAAGGAAAAAATATATATTTAAAGCCTCAAGTGCGCAACGAAGCAATTGAAAATAGCACCGCAGTTACCATATGTAACGTGGCACAATCAGGATTGAGGTATAGCACAGGGGCGAACATGTAGCAGCAAATTACCGAAGCGTTTTAGCAATAAAATTGTACAAATTGTCAATCAGACCGGAAGTTGACTTTCAAATACAATAGCATAGGGCGTGACAGGTATGCACTGGCAGTGCAACGCATGCACTATTTGTGTCGATTCTTGATACCACATATGTATGTATGTACATACTTGCAATAAAAATATATAAATACTTATAAAATTAAACTTAAAGTGTTGCATACAAATTAAATTTTTTTCCTTGAAAGACTCTCCCATTCAAGTCATGTACTTACCTTTTGACCTAACGCATCTGCCGCTGCTACCGCCTCCTTAGCCACACCCACGCCATCAGCTGATATGGCATGTGTGTATGGTGATGTCGCGTAAACAAATAATGGCAGCGAATTAAAATTACGCAGAATTCCACCACAATCCTTGAAGCGTCGACATAACAATAGTTTTTTCCCACACAAACGCGATTCTGGAGCATCACCGTCCATGTCTATTACAGACAATGTGGTTGTTGTTGCAGGTGTAGCCGGTATTGTTGTTTCTTCTATTGCTTCTATTGTTGCTCCTTTTTCATTACCGTTGATTTTCAACATTTGGGTGTGTTGCTCCACTTCGTCAATTTCCTCCTTTGCCGCTGTCAATGTGACACACCCATTTGTAGTCGATGACGACTCCTCCGCTATAACATTAACAATATTATGGCTTGTTTGTGTTTGCTCATCCCCGTCAGCCCCAACTGCCAATTGCAGTTGCTGTGGGTGTTTCGATGCATTTTCAGACGTTGACGCTGTTGTCGTAGCCATATCAGTCAGTCTCTTGTTCATTTATGAGCATTAACCAATACTAGGTGTATGAAAATGTGTACGCCGATTTGGTCGTTATGAATGAGCACTTTTGTGCGTGGTATATTTGTGTTTCTTTGTGGACGGTTTCTAAAGTATGATGCATTGGCATGTTGAAAATGTACATGACCAACTAACTACCTGACATTTAGCTCATACATAAGCTGAAATTCTTGATAAACGCTTAATCAACATGTAGACAATCTTTGTAGTTGTTCATTTTAGACTTTTTTATGTTGTTCACTTTTGCACTTAAGAATAGGAAGCTACCAAAATTTGCTTAGTTTTTCGGCCATAAACGAAGATCTACACGAAACAAAGCCCGAAATCGGTAAATGTATGGCAAATGAGAGATGCGCCCAAAGGCCCCAAAGGTAGTAACAATCGTGCTAACAAAAAAATTTCTTTGTTTCGATTTTTCTCTATAGCGACGAGCTGCTTTTGTATAACTTCTTACCAACACCAGGTATTTAAGAAAAACTGTTTCTTTGTTAACTTTGATTTTTGTTTGGCACTTTTATGTGAAGTTAAGTTGCAATTTTTTTTTAATTACATTTACCGACACTTGCATAGCACAACCACTTTTCAATCTGCTCCACACACTTTCTTTTAGAAACTACCGACGAGACTTAATGACCTTGCTATATAGAATGTGTCTTTGGAGTACATCCAGGAAAATCAATACGTTTTCAAAAGTTCACGAACGAGTCTACAAAGATTTATAATTAAAATGGATTTGCGAATTTCCGGCAATAAAATACTACCAAATTAAAAATTCGGATGCTCGCGAGTCGCGACGATTGAAAATTGACAATTGAATTTGTCTTTCCTTTTTTGATCTGTTTCGTGTTTTCTCGTGTTCCTTTTAGCATCTTTCGGCAGGGTTGCAAAAGTTTTTTATTTAGTGCTTGCAAAAAAACGTAAGGGAATAAAATTTACAAATAAATAAAAGGTCTTATTAAATACTAATATTAAATCAAAAACAATTGAATAAATACAAAAATGACAATCAAATTTTCATATAATTTTGATAAGTGAGTTTAGAAGACTTATCCTCAATGCCTCAGTTTAAGCGATTGAAAATCTGTCTGTTACAATATGTTTGTCTCTCTTTAGCTAATGTCTTCATGTGGTGGTAGTGGTCGATAATGCAGTCAGAGAAAAAAGGAAGTTTCGGTGGATTTTTGAGTTAAGTACTATTTTCGTTCATAATTTAAATTGTATAAATACATAACAAAATACACTCTTCATACGTAAACGTAAGATTTCGAAGTGTGATCTTATCGAAGGTTCTATATGTTCTTGTACAATAAATTAAATTCTTATATTTGCAATATGTTTAGTAATTATTGATTAAGAAACATAAACTTTTTCTCTGTATTCACCATTTTTATTGCAAATTAAATTAGGGGTTTATTGTGAATTTAGAAGCCTCGCTGGACTCATACTTCTAGGTCAACTATAGTTATGCTAGATGGGGTAACTAGGCCCTGTCGAGAACTGGGTCATGATTTAAAGAGAGGTAGATTCTGTGGAAACATTCCAACATACTACACCGCCTTATAATCCTATACGCGAGACTATCACTAAATAAGAAAAAATCCATCGCTGTTCTTGGGTTTAACACTCCTTGTATAATAAAAAGTAGTCCAATAATAAAACTAACTTTTTGATATTTTTCTTACACTTTTAATCCACCTCCGAATGCAGATTTCGGTTTCATCTCACAGGATGAAGAGGAAGAGAGGCAGGTACCAGAACAAATATATCCTGACCATGTAGTTTTTGGACCGACCCTGGGGGAAATTCCCATTGCGACATCTCTTAAAAAGTGTTGGAACGGAAAAAATCAATATGATCTTACACGTCTCTGCGGATTCCACTTCGAAACTTGAGCTTTTATGACGTAATAATCAAAATGTTTTGGAATTCGGCTGCTTAAAGCTTTAAGCTCTGCGTCGCATTTCAGGGATGACGTCATTGGCATACATAATAGATTACTCATTCGATTAGCATAAGTGACAAACCGGAAAAATACTTCACCTTTAAGATCTATAAATACATTCGGAGGGAGGGGGCTGGCAATTTTCAATAAAAAGTTTTTAGTTAATTTTTGACGTTGATCGACTTGATGATTTCTACTCAGAGTTTAATTTTTGGTGCTATCTATCACAAACCATAACAACGCGAATTACTTTCAAAGCAAGTAACAAATTGACCGTTTAAAATCCTTTAAACATGGTTTTGGTAGTTTTTACTAATATAAGTACCCTTGATATCTATATGCTAAACAAATTCTGCTTGAAATATAGGCGGATATATGGCCCTTTTTGATTTCCCACACTATAAGAAAGAAATAATCAAATTAATGTTACCTGTGAACCTAAACGGGATTAGTTAGCAGATAGCCCCTGGGCGGATGTAATTCGGGTCAACTCCGGTGCATAGAACCGTCTGTATTAAGAGCTGTAATCAAAAGGAAGCTACCGTTGGGAGCGTGATACTGGCACAACCTAGGCCATCACCTCTTTACATGCCTCCCAAAGCCGATTCATAAAACCCCCTTCTACCTCTGGTCCGATTCCGTTGAAACAACACGTTTCTTGAACCTCCTATTAGATGACCTCGGTGACTTAGATTAAGCAACTTGTCCATAAGCCGGGTTAACGAATATGCTACACCAACAACAACAAGAAATAACCAAATATATTTGAATGTAGACTTTAATAAAAATGATTAATATTGAAAATACTTATGCATGTGATGTCACTGAATAGAAAATTATGAAATAACACAGTTTGGAGCTTTTAAGCTTTCTGCTCTATTACCTTTTGAGATTATGCTAACGCAATTTTACAGTGTATTTGTGAAATAGATTAGTCAGGTGATCCTTGTGAAAGGGAAAACATTATATAACGTTATTACGTAACTTCTTACATAACGTTAATTCAAAAATGCTGTTTGGTAGAAATGAGAACTAAAGACCTTTTAACTTTATATTGTCGGGCAAATAATAAAAGATGTTCTGATGAGGTAAACTCGTAGAAATGTGTAGAAATGCGGGACCGCGCCGCGACCGGATGTCGTTTACAAAAGTTTCGGTTACACACATAAAGCCGGCTGCCTTGGTCGGGAGAAATTATATGCTTTAGGGTGTTTGTTAGTTATGAGCTATCCTGCAAACCCAAAGGGTTTAATAAGACAAAAAATTATGTAATAGAAATCGGGGAACTTTCAAACTGAAGTTGTCCTTCCTAATTCAAAATTAATAAAAATATCTAGGATTAAAGTTTATATAATAACCTTGAAATTTTATTTTATTGAAGAAACAAACGTCAACATTTTATTCTATTGTTGCTATTAATTTAATAGCCTAAATTAAACCCCTAGTTCACTTTTGATTCTTGCCTTAAAACCCTTTTATCGACTAAACCCTGCTGAAAATAACAACTATTTTAGCATTCCACCAACCCCCTTTTTCCACGATATGCGTAAGTGAAACAGCATAACTACGCATAACTTTTCTCACTGACAGTTCCAATATAAATTCTTTGTGGAAATAGTGCAAAAGTTTCGGATATATAATCAAATGAACCGCATAATAAAATTCAATAAAGTTGTTGAAATTATATTTTGATTTTTCATTTTAACATCCATCTAGTTCGCAACAAAATCAAATAAATATAAATCATCAGTTAATGGCGAAAGTGTGAGTCAACCGCCATAGTGTTCGAATTCGCTGTTTTTGACAATTGTTGGAAAAATTAGCAGCGACGAAAAGAAACGAAACATTGCGATTCGCGTTTACAACGAGTATCATTCGTGTGGAGGTAACCTTTGTATATAAGTTGTTGAGATTTCACTTAAAGAAAGTTTATCATTAGTTTGCTGAACGCCACTAAAGTAGGCGGAATATTTTTCTTTTAACATTTCAGAAAAACTGAATCGAATAATTCGGTTTGTGAGTATTTCATAAAAGTTGAAAAGAATCGACATAAGGAAAGGGCATTGAACATTCAAAGCGAATTGGAGAATCTTATAAGAAAAAAAGTGTAAAAGTGCAAAAAAAAAAACAATAAGAAGAAAAAAGTTCGCCGAATTTCTCAAATTCCGGCTGTCAAAAATAAAATCTGCCTGCCTTTTGTCTTGCTTACACGCATTGATTTCACTACATAAGCCAAATTCCGCCATTGGAAGTACTAGCTAAGCTAGTCACACCACAGGTGTCCACATAAAGGACGGTTATTTGCGTAGCCGCACCACTTAATCGACTTTGTAGTAGACGAGGACCGAAGTGAATCGAATCTGCTGCTTTTCATCTTCGTGGTTGTTCGGTCTTATTGGTCGTCATTGTTCGTCGAGACAAAAATTCAGTGCGATTGCTGCGAGAATTGAATTCGTCGTACTCGTGGGCTTTAAACGGCAAAGAAGGAAAAATTTTCTTTTTTTTAATAGAAATTTAGTTTTGTGCGCTACGCTCAACACACGTTAAAAATCAAATTTCAACAAAATGGCGTTAAAAAGAATTAATAAGGTATGTTTAAAAATGTTTAAAATATAGAGGAGAATTGAAATGCATTTTAGGGCATGGTGTGAAACTTCTTTATGCAAGAAATAACGTGAAACGATGAGCCAGCAGAAGAATTGATCGAAAATGGGCGACGAAGCACCGACAGCGCTTGCGATAGCAACGACCACGACGTTTGATGTTCATTGCGACAATTCGATGGCAGAAAAATTGAAAAAGTAAATTACAAATGTAATCTACAAATTAAATTATACAGAAATATAAAGCAGTCCGCTTCCCAAAGTAAAAGGACTTACATTTCGGTAAATTATTGCATACAATGAAAATGATTTCAGGCTGACTAGTGATATGATGAACATCGGTGTAGATAATATTTAGTGATTCCTATGTGTTAGAAAAATATCTTATTAGAGAAATGGTGATTTCAAAGTGAAACTAAACAGTAATTCTAACCAAAGCAAAATTTGTTTGTAAATACATACTTATTGCTTGACAGCAAATCCTTTTCACTACACAGTATTTGTCATAATTTTGTTCATGAAGTCTGGAAATGTTATCCAATCCAGTGGTATACATAGATACTAAGTGTTGGCTAAATATATTTTATAAACGATAATCAAAAGTCCAGTCCATATTCCTAACCTTACTTTTGTCTATACCAGCACGATATTTCTATATTTTTTCTGTTTAAATTTTAATCCATATCAATTAAAACCTTATAAAAGTAATGTATGTATGTATATATATACATCCCCTGATACAAGGTATTTTTTGGCTTGAGTTTTGGTGTCTCCAATATTCTTTATATCCTTTCCTTCCAGTCCGTCGCGTAAAAAGTTAACACAAAAAGGAAACAAAAACCTTCGAGATAAATATGGAAACAAGAAGGAAACAGTTCAGCAGCAGCGCAGTTGCAGTGGCGATGTTGGTCGGTACTTTCCATTTCTTTTCCGCACATGTAAATTGCCATAGGAATTGCTCGGCTCACTTCAATCGTGACGACGCTTTTTATCAAAACAGCGCTGCTGCATTAACTACTGCGGTGGGTCGACGGTGTTAAATACCATACCGAATTTATTTAAAAGAATTTGAGTTCGATGTTTTTTTTTAACAAAAAAAAATGTCTAATATATTCTCTCAATTTTTTAAAATTGCTGTTACACTTGGAAGGTAACGTAGACGTGACTTCGGACGTCGCCGCGTACATTGGCGTTAGCTTAGGTGATTTCTAATCGTCTCCGCTTTGTTCCGACTTCGGCTGCTATCGTTTCCAACAGTGTTGCTTTGTGTTGGGTGCCTTGCCGGGTAGTAGCTTTTGTTTTATTTTTTATGTTGCTAATGGCTTTACATTGGTCGCATATTCGTGTAGAGTTGTTTCTTTCTGGTTTATACACTTTTGTTGAGTGTCGTTTCTATGCTTTCAGGTTTTTACATGGGTCTTGCTTGCACTTATTTAACAAAATATTACATTGACGTTGCTGTTTTTAATTTGCATTATAAACAGGGTTGCTAAAAATATTTTGGTATTTTATTTTGAAATTCCCTGTAAATTTATTTTACACGAAAATGAACCAGTTTTTGAGGGCTATGATACTAACAATAAATTCCAATTAGACTTCTAAATATTTTCGAAGCAACACTGTTTTCTACTCATCCAATACGATGACCGCTGTTGGTTGTGTTTGCTTTGTCGCTTCTTCGCTTATTTTCGCCTGCAATAATGCTTGCGCAGACGTCAAAGTTTGCAGCGACGCTTCCGTCATCGTCATGGCCATTGAATTTGTAAATGAAAATTAGAATATTTTTTCGCATTTAGAAATAGAAATAAATGGCTAGTTGAGAACGAGGAATTGCAATTGATGGTGAGGAGTTTATGAGTTGAATTTTATTCTCATTACTGGTATTTCATCACAATGTTTTATATACTTTATATGTATATACAAGTGCAATGTTTTACACAAATCCATATATAAGTGCGGCGGTAGTAGTTACTTTTAGGAAAGAGAAGGGGTAGACCATAGATCATAAGGAAGGGTAGGGAACTTGATTGTTCAAGGCTAATAACTAATTCAAATCGACCTTTTGATGTAAACAAAATGTGGACGACAAACGTCGCATAAGCTTCTGGTGTTGAGGGAACGCAAAATTTTTTAAGGTGTTTGGCCTTCCGTACCGATGATCCTAGTTGTTTAATCTATTTGTAACTTACAACTTACAAATTGTAAGTGTATCTCTAAAAATAAAAATATATTTTTAATATATACATACCTACATATGTAGTTTATAATATTTTATGCTTAAAAATATATGACTTATTTGTTTTATGTAAAATTTTTTGGTTTCACATTCCGTTACTAAATTTTACCAAGCGCAAGCCCATTTAACGCACAGTTTTCGATTTTCTTTTGTGTAATGCAAAAGCTCGAAAATCATGCTCCAAAACACAATTATTAATGTACATACATACGTGTATGTTTAAAAGAGCCAAACTTGAAAATTTTCTTGCAAGTTCGTTCTTTTTTTATGATTGTGTTGAAGTAAGGGAACGTATGAACAAGTGCTACAATATTAATGACTATTACAAGCTGGACTGCTATTTTTGGTTTCAAAAAAAGAGCTCAATTTTGCGGTGTTGCTTTAAATTTTTTATTTTTTTTTATTTTATTACGTTTCATTTTTGTCTGCCTTGAAACACTGAACCGCAACAATTTTGCTGCTTTATTTTATTTTCCTTATGTACATATCTACATGGCTTGATCGTATTTTCTCCCATTAGTTACTTTCTGTGTGTGACCTTACTCACGTAAACATATGCGGCACAACAGGCCATACCGGAGCGCCGCTGTCTACTTTAATAACTTTGCAGTCACCAACACCAAGAGATGACTGCTGTGTATAATATGATCCACATCAAAAACGAACCCATTAGAGTTACTACATATGACTCATTGAGACTTACGAAAATGTTTAATAGTAACTGATTTTTATTTCGAAATGCAGTACATATTTCGATAATTGCTGAAGCTCATAAACATTTGACTGCGGGAGTAAATTTAGTTCCCGATTTTAATAGTGTTCTCATCTCAGATCATTGTGATTTGCTCAATATTAGGTTCAAAAAAGAACACCTTTGCATCTGCTTTTCAATACTTACCTTCAGCATTATTATTGTCTATATATTCAGGCAGGCATTTGCCAGTTTCTCCGTTTGCCAATTTATTTTTATATATGTACAGTATATATAAATATAATATTCTGTTTTTCTTAATTTCCTCATAGCACATTGGCGTTGTCGTAGGCCTGACGTTGTTATATTTACAAATGTACACATATAATAATACTACTTATTATATACATATGTATGTGTTTGTATGTTTGTTTAGTCATTATTTGACGACATATGTACACGCGCTGCTGTTGGCTACTGGTTAAATCCTTATACAATATATGAGAGTAAATGAAATTGTTGCTGTCACAACGCTGTGTGATGAAAAAGTTTTCTTTTTCTGCTATTAATGTGTTAATGCTTGGCACAACGTGAAATTAAAAGAATAAAAAGTGATAACAATTTTTTGAAATTGAATATTTATTCGGAAATGTTGGAACTATGGAATTTAAAGTTTTAATTGACACGTATATATGTTCGTTTCGCTGGTCCATTTTGTTTAACTACACTTGGGGAAAAAAGAGAAAAAGGTAATTCATGTGCGTATCTAAATAAATGTATATACATATATAAACACTGTTCACTTGCACTTCATATATGTATGTATGTACATACATACAGTACATTGATGTCCAAGAAAATCACCGTTCATGTCGGACGCCAACGTCTCCCGTTTCTGCTGCTGCTGCTTCTTCTTTTTCTTAACTCTGTGTAGGCAACATATTCATACTGGCAAATTTTTGGAAAGGGCCAACGAACTTTACATTTTTTGATTTTTTTTTGCTTAATTTTTCTCTTGTTGTTGTTGCTATATCTTTATTGTTATTCTGAATGTATTGCTGGCATGAATGCAAAGTTGCCTTGCGTTGAGTTCACTTAACGCTCGGTTACCTGTTTATGAATTATCTTTTTCACTTCTTTTTTGTTTGTTTTCTTTTTTTTGTAGGAAATATCTTTTTTCATGCTATTTTATATTAACTATTATACGCGGCGAAAATTCTACTCATACGTACTTTAATACGAAAAATTCAAATTAATGTTTCTCTAAAATGCATTAAAATTCTCCCTAATTTTTTTATGTACATATAACTGTATGCGCTTATAATAATGGTATATTCTGCTTTGTAGGAACTACAAGATCTTGGCAGAGATCCACCTGCACAATGTTCAGCTGGACCAGTCGGCGACGATTGTAAGTATTTAATGTAATTTATAGGCAATTATTTTTCATTATTTTGGAACTATGTACCTACATATGTATGTATGTATAAAATGTTTGGGAAAAATCCGTAAATGATTCATAGAAAAAAAGTTTTTCAACAAGTTTTATCTCAAAAATTTTTGCAGCACCTTTATGTTTGATTAGGAAAAATATTTTTTTTCGGGATGTGTGCTTTGTTAAATTTATTTTTTTTTTTTTTCCAAACTTCCGTATTTTTTGCAAATAAATTTTAATTGTGTTAATAATTCAAAAAAAAAAAAAAAAAAAAGATGCACCTCTAAAGCAAAAACATGCAGTAAGAGATACATATCTACATACATATGCCTGCAACTACTTGTGTTACAATGCATTTTAATTTTTTTAATCGAACATGACGCACAAATTTTTATTTGTATTATTAGTTTTCTGAAGAATTTTTGCAATATGACTGAAACCTAAACTTAAGTTGGAAGCAAAAAACTATGAAAATGCATATCAGCATGCAGTAGAAGCTAATAATTTATATGTGTGTATGTATGTATAAACATTTACTTGTAAATGCATTTAACAGAAAGGGCATTCATTATCCATCACACAAAAGCGTAAAATCTATTATATACTATTACTGTTATTGTGCTACTGCCAAGGCATATCATGTGCACACATGTGTGTTTTGCACATATCTACATCTTCGTTCGTTTGAGCTTGTCTACACCCATTTCAAATTCAATGTGAACCATATGAAGCTATCTACCTACCTACCTACCTACTTAGCTCCATATGTACATATGTATGTAATTCGGAGTACCATATAAACCACCCAACCAACTGCATTGCTGACTGTTGTGTGCCAATACCATCTTCTTTGGCAAAAAAAGTAAAATAAAATCTAAAAGTTTGCAAAACTCCACTGCAATGTTGTGTGTGTGTGTGTATGTGTATGTGTGCAGGCGCTTCACTACCACTTCAAAGCTATAAAGCTTCATTTCGACGTTTCGTTGGTGGCAATGAGACTTGGCTATTGGCTTTTCCCCCCCTTCACTAAGGGCGTGAGTGGGTGAGTGGGTATTTGTTAGTTGGCAGGTTGGTTGCCTGGCTTGACTGCTTGGTTGCAGCTGAATAAATTCAAATGAAATCGTGGCAGCTGCTGCATAAATGTTGATAGCAGCAAAACGCTAACGTCGACAGCAACGTCAACTGCAGCAGCAGCATAACCGCATTTAAAACAGCGTAACTTTGCCTTATCCCTGGGGGTTATGGCTACAAATATGTATGTGTGTGTGTTATGTTTGGCTGCTTATGAGGGATGATGGTATGATGGGGTTTGCTTCGAATGTGTTTGGGGGGCTGGTACAAACATTGCAGTGTTTCCTGGGGGTTTTTAAGGCACGAGTTGCATTATCGACAGTTGAAATGTGTTCATTTGTTTTTGTTATTTCCAGTTATGATTTTTGGAAATTAATTAGTTCTCATTTCCAGCACTCATTATGTGATGTAAAGATTATTTATTTGTTTATTAAGCAAATATCAAACATTAAACTTAATGTAAGAAAAAAAAAAGAGTAGAAGAACTAAAAAGTGTTTTTATTTTTTTATTTCAACACGCATTTTAAAATGTATTCTAATTTAAAAGTAATTTATATATAGCACCGATCACCGTAGCACTTCTATTTAAAAACTAACGCACACTTATCCATCTTGCCTTATGTAAATGATCATGACTCATGGTGCTAATAAAATTTACCTATGTACATACATAATGCGTTACACATACATACATTTGAATTTTCCCTATCCGCTACTTATTTACTTCAATACCAATGCGTTTGCACTAATATTATTAATAAAAGATTATATAATTATTATAATTCTGATATATACATACATATGTATGTACATAGTATATAGGTATACAAACAAAATAAGTGATGTGATTCTTATAATAACCTCTTTATTATTATTATTTATATCTAATTATATTCATACATACGTACACTTATACTTATTGAAGCGCTTTTGTTATATGCTTAGCTACATATGTATGTACATACATACATATGTGTATAGTAGTATACGTAGCTTCAACTTCATTTATTTACGTATTATAACTATTAAATGTTTGTATGGTAAATTAAATTATTTTCTTTTCTCTTTTATTTTAGTATTTCACTGGCAAGCTACAATAATGGGACCGGTAAGAAGAATTTGCATATGACAAATGTTGCTTTGGAACTTCAATAATATTTACTGTTATAAAGCTAATTAGTTTTTATTTACATATATTACAACGTTTTCGCAGCGAGAGCTAGCCAAAGTTTTGAATAAGTAGCTTAGAGTTTCCGGAAAAATGACAATGGAAATCAACCACGATTTCCATAAACTTTTTCTTACCTTGCCGACTTGTGTAATTAAGAGAATTAATCTGAATTTGACACGTACTTGAGATGCGACCTTTGTCCGTAAAAAATTCATTTTCCACTGCAAGAGTTTTCTTCAAATTAAGTTTATTTTGCATATATGTATATAAGGCGTTGTAAAAATAAATCCATTATTTTTGCGTCAAATGTTTGCATACGGTTTTTGGTGTATTCTTTAGCTCTTTTGCTATCGAAACAATGCTTGTATGGCGGTCGGGTTCGACAATGTTCATGATTTATGGACAATTGACCATCTATATCAAAATTACCGCAATGAAACCATGATTGACTGAAACAGTCCAGCCGCGTGGCTTAAGTTTTCGCCCTTATCGAAGGAAAACTGTAAAATGTATCGTATTTTCTCTTTGCCTATGCACTTCTTTGACGCACGCTAAAAAAAAACCGAATGAATTAATCACAAAAGCTTTTTTTGGTACGAAAATTTTCTAGCGCCACCCGCGGAAGCCGATCGGACTTATACAACGTGAGATACAGATAAATAATGCCAGCTATTGGAAAAATAATGGATTTCTTTTTACTAAGTCTAGCACATATATATGTAATTGTCACTTAGATAGATAGATAGAATCAAGCCTAAAGCTTTCATGACTCCCCGCACGCTAGGAGGGTTAATTGATTTAATGTGATTTTGCTTCGTCTGAATAACTCCTAGATGCCTTAGTCTTTTCTTCTAGAAACAGCTTCGCATTCAAACACTATATGTACTGCTGGTGTCTCTGGTAATAGCCCACAGAATCGACGAGTCTGTAACAAATCCGGATAACCGCTTGTCTAAGCGTGTGGGGGAGATTGTGGAATGTATTCAGACGAGCACTAGGTTCGTAACAAAAATTGGGGGTAACCCACTGGTCTCATCTCGATGCTCATGAGGCATCTGACGGTGCGCTGCCATTAGTCGTAACTGCTCGAAGAACAGGGAAGGGAAGACGTACAAAAAGCTGAGATCGTAAGTCTGCCTCTGTCACTTGACACTCTGGTCGTAAAACTTCACTGGTCACTTGAAAATTGTATTCTTGCATGTATGCATGACAGGAAGCAGTCTAAAGTTTGGCAAGGATTTGTGCACTTCGCGTATGCACCGCTGAAGAGATTTTTCATCGAGTTCCTCCTTCAATTTATGTTATCCGTATTGATGTTTATCCAAAAATTTGTTCCAAGCCATAATTTTATCCAAAGGTTTTGCATGTCAGCCTAAGCAGAGTTCGAATATACGACCTTTTACATGGGAGTACGTACTAGTTGGCTACATCCAAGAAAAATGAAGCAACATACATAGATTGAGATGTTCAAAGCCGTTAAAATGATGTTGTATTTATAAATCTTCTCTTCATATTTCAAAGAAAAATAAAAAAGGAAAATAGTAGTTGAGGTAATACAGTGACTGGAGGCCCAGGAAACGAGCTGTTTTTGGGTTCAGAGGGCAACGGGGGTTAAAGCTAACCTACTCAGCTTGAGGGGTATACAAAGAGGTTGTTAGTATCATGCGGGGTCTAACTGCTTGGTGAACATATATCATACGCCGACTAGAATATCTTAATTGCGCTAGTACTTAAACGCAAGTAGTTTGAGTTGTCTAATGTGCTTTTAAAGTTTCCAACATAACAAGTTTAGTAATATCAAAAATGTATCAATTCAAAATAATATCTAAATTAACCGTTATCGTTTTTATTTTCTCATTTTCAGCCTGACAGCCCGTATCAAGGTGGCGTATTTTTCTTAACAATTCATTTTCCGACAGATTATCCTTTCAAACCGCCTAAAGTGGCTTTTACAACGCGTATATACCATCCAAACATTAACAGTAACGGATCGATTTGCCTCGATATTTTAAGATCTCAATGGTCGCCAGCATTAACTATTTCAAAAGGTTTTTATAGATTTTTTATCAATGCAATATTCTTAACGAAAAACTTAATAAAATTTTCTCCTTTTTATTTACAGTTTTACTATCGATTTGCTCTCTTCTCTGTGATCCCAATCCAGACGATCCACTTGTACCAGAGATTGCAAGAATATATAAAACTGATCGGGAAAAATATAATGAATTGGCACGAGAGTGGACTAGAAAGTATGCTATGTGATGCGCTCCAGTTCGTACTATCGATCCGTCAACTAGTAACAACAAAAGCAACATCAATAATAGCAGCAGTGAGAAGGATTGCTATAACATCATCATTAATAATAATAATTATAACAACAACAACAACAAGAACAAGAACAACAAAATGGAATCAACAATAGCAGCAGATATGGCATAGCGCTCCCAAGCAGGCAAAAAAAAAAACACAAGGGTTTAATAAATATATATATATATAGCAAGAACAGCAAAATCACAGCAACAACAATGTGAAACAATTCTTCTTCAGTAAATAAAACAAAAATATGAAAAATATTAAAAAAAAAAACAATAAAAAAAACTGCATTAATTCAAGAGTAAGCGAGAATTATGCGTGAAACAAGAAAAACACAGAAAGCTAAAGAATTCTGCGGAGAAAAGAGTAAAGAGAAGGAATAAAATTACAAATTAATAAAATACAACAGCAAAGAAAAAAAAAGAGAAAAAAAACACATAAATCAACTTACTTATTATTATTACATTTATAATTAATTAAATTAAATTAAAATTATATTCTTCAGAAGAAAATATAAAAGATAAATCAGAGATAAATCAATAAAACCACATAAAAAATATACAAGAATCTAACATTAAACACTGCGCAGAGGCGATAAAGATATAGTGAGTTGGAGAGGTAAAACAAAAAGCGAAAAGAAGAAAGAAAAAAAACGTTTAAGCTAAGCAAGCAAGCAAAAAGGGTTTAGGATACAGTATACCGCGCGTAAAGTGTGTGTAAGAAGGCAAGTTAATATAGACTAGACTGATTTACGAGTAGCGACTTGATATGAGCAGCGTTATTTGCTGTGGCAGCACAGCGATGGTAGCGTCTCGTCTCCAAAGGGCATGATAGCGATTTATTAGTAGTACATACCCAGTGTACGCAGCAGGTACGAAATGTACAGTTAGTTATGTACATATGAACGTTGTATGGTGTTTATGAAATGGCAAACAAGAAATTTCATTATAATTTTTCCAAATAAAAAAAAAAGTAAGAAGAAGAAAACATAAATTTTTGCGACACTTTCAAGTGTGCTTAGCAGATTTGGAACAGTAGAAATGCGATGATGTGAAATTGGTTAATTATGCGCCAAGTAAATCATTAGCCCATCACTTACTACACTCCCACAACCAACCAACCAACCAACCAACCACACATTTTGCGTAGCATGTAAAGAAACAAAAATTAAAAGCGAAAAAAAAAATAATTAATTATTAAAAAGGTGATTATGGACGATCAACTCGTTCCTTCACGTGCTTCGCACTCGTATTTGGGTTCAATATATTAAGCAAAGCGTCATATTGGTGTAATCCTATGCCTAATCAAAAAAAAAAAAGATCTAAAAAATAAAACAAAGAAAAAATGCAAAATGCAAAATGCAAAAAAGTACAGTTGAAAAAGAAACATCGTATTTTAGTATAATTTATATAATTTTTCTGCATAAGAACTTCTCTACTAAACAAATAAGCAAATATTATATATATATTTGTGTGCTTACGTGAGCGTTGAAGTAACAGTGTGTGAGATAAAGCGATCCTAATTGATGTTTATTTACCAGTAATTTGAATTAAATAATATTCTTGTTGGTGAATGAATTTTTTAATGGATTTCGTTCTTTCTGTAATAAATATATTTATATATATACATATATCTACCTTCTAAAACTATAATAAAAATACTTCATTTTAAGCTGTTCTTAAATTTTTATAAAACAAAAAGAAAATGCAAGGAAACTTTTAGTATAACATTTTGAAAGTGAGTTGTGTTTGTTGTTTTCTGGTGTGTTTATTACAATTATTGATATGAAACAAGAAGAAAAAAACATAAATCATATATATATATATATTTTCAAACAATTTTCAATGCCAATTCTACACCAAAAAAAAAAAAATCCGAAAACATCTTTGGAATGCTTACCTACCATACATGAATACAAACAATACACACATACATATACGATATACATACTCTTAATCATGAAAAGTCGTTTTTTTTTTACTAGCGTTAGTCACTTAATTATTAAATTGGGCGTAAATACAATTAAACGAATTATGTTTTTTTTTTTTTTTAGCTTTTTTTTGCTGATTATTTAGGTTTACTTACTTAATTATTGCAACTGAGTTTCAAAATACATACATAAATACATACATGAATCCATTTGTAGCTGCGAGTTATCATTATTTTTTAATTAATATTCGTAAAACGGTTTGATTGAAACATAAAAAAAAATGTATTGTAATAAATATTGTATAAAATATGTTGTTGTGTTTCCGGTATAAATACTCGTAGGGAATTGTCATTGCTGCGCAGAAATATTGCATCAAATTCCGAAGTTTTCGATTTGGATTGATTTTAGGTGCTGGATGTGTTTTTCTTGTAAGTTAATTCCTTTTTTTTTTTTTTTGTAATTTCAGCATGAAAAATCGTTTTATTTAGTGCGGTAAGTATAGGAGAGAAAAAGGAAAAATATTTAATTTTCAGCGCTGGCCTTCCTAACGGCATTTTAGGAGATGAAAATTATGAAATAAACGTCAAATAAAAATCGTACATTTTTTAGTAGTTTTCTATCTTGAAACTTTGCATTGAATGCACACGTGTTTGAATTTTCAAGCATACTTTTAGGCTGAACCAATTTTATTTTTATGATGGTAAGTATTCATTCATTTGGTAAAGGGGAACTGATTATTATTTCCTTCGGGGCAGGACGGAGTGTTAAAGAGCTCGTTGTAGCGACTTGTTAACCCTAACGGAAGGTCCAGGAAACATGATTAGACCAGAGGGTCAGGTGTATTGGTTGAGTTCATTTTAAGGGGCATACATAGAGGTGGATTGTGTCGTGAGGGCTTTCGTTGCAATCGAGATCACATTGGATATGTCTTGGTCAAGTTTGTATAAGTAGAAATTAAGCCGATTAAAATATCCAAATTTTTGAGTTCTTGGCCGGCCAATTGCCTTGTATGTTACGAGCAACGTTTATTTGCCTCTGTGGAGTGAAATAAGAGAGCACATGAAAAGCTATGGGCACGAATTCTTGGTTAACGTAATGAAATGCGTTCACCTAATTTTGAAGTCCTGGTCGAACGGAATATTTTTGTCGCGTCTGCTAAACGCACCTCGATTAGATATGACTCGTGCAACGGTAAGAGTCATCTTAAAACTTGTTCAGGGAGTGTACCACGAATTACGTCGCTCCACGTTGCCAGCGCCTCAAGACCTGACGGCTGTGCCAGCGTTAGTATTCCCAATTATAACATACCTTTATGGTCCACGGTCGTTACCTGTTGACCTAAAGGGGTCTAGGTCGCGGAAAGGGTAACAGCCCTTGGCCGGATAAAAACCGGGTCAACTCCGGTGCATAGAACCAGTTGTCTTGAGAGTTTCCCAGATATTGTAGCAGATTAAACTCCTCTTCTCTGCATGTGGAAAGTCTCCGCACGACACTAACCACCGCTTCAGATGGCGTCTTAAGCCAACACATCTTGCCCCCCTCTCCATCTGGTAGATGACCTCGGTGACTTAAATTGTTTTTTAATCTCTCCCTAAGCGAGGTTAACGTTGCTGCAACAACAACAACAACGGCTCACGGTCCGCTCGTGACTTCCAGCCCTTTTATCCATCATTCCTATCGCACATGCAACGAAAATACTACAAAACTACAGTCTTCCTTACTGCTCGTATAGCAAGCGTCTTGACGAGACAGATCTGAAATTTACAATTTAATATCAATGCACTCCAGGCGAAGATCTACATACCACCCCGTGCGTACTGTTCGAACAGGCGATATTGACCACGCTGTTACTTACAAGCCAAATAAGAGGACAATTTAAGTGCCTGTAACCACGTCTGGTTCAAGGGCAAATCGCGGCTAATTTTTATTCGGTGACTGCACCTTATCGGTCCGACTCAATACACTATACCCTTCGGTGATTAGAACTAATCTACCCTTTGTTTGCAAAAATCACCAAACACCAACCTTTCATTTTGTTGTACAAGAGTCCCAGAGTGGAGACCTTCCGTTGTTAAAACCAGGGAAAGTCGCCAAAAGCGGGGATCCATATCGCCATCCCCGGTTGTTCTGTCTTTTACCCACTATCTGAGCCCAGCATTGCTACCCCGGTTGTCGTGGTAGCACTGGTCTTGTCGAAAGCTCAATGCTACTGGACCGTTTACTAGCTGATTGGGATCTGAGAGCGTCGCTGATCTATTATGTCGAGGACTTCTCGATCTTGGTGAGCAACTACACGTTTTAACTTTTTCACTTCACTTCTACCCGAATCTCACTCTCTGAATCCTCGCAACCCTTTCTAGAAGTTGAGAGAAGGTGCGTTGGCCAGACTTGAATGCCGAAGTTCTGACGGTCATTTACCTTAAGTTACTGTGTGCGACATTCAACAGCCTGCACCTCTTCACGCCGCATACGCCCGTGATTACTAACAACGTGCAAAGCCGTGACTAAACCCTTAAGTAACCAGCCGGCAGCATTTGAAGTAATACAAAAAAACACGATAGTGGCCGAAAGTACATTAACCAGCCCTCGATAATTTGAACTTGCTTCACTGGCTCTGAAATGCTACAACAACAAAAAGGATGGTCACTTTTTATCCCAACAAGACGAGACTATCTGATTAACTCAACTAATAGCTCAAAACCTGTCAACCTAAAGCAACGCATTTCTTTCAACGCTGAATACCAATTGTATTGGTACCACTGTACTTGTCCTTGACGTTTTTTGCCGTTATTTTACTGGTTCGTATTTAAAAGTAGTCCAACTTAGAAAACAAATCTGGAGATCTCTAACATTCCGCCCCATCTTTACTTACTTACTTTACTGGCGTAGACAGCGCTAACGCGATTTTAGCCGATTTAACAACATTGCACCATTCGTTTCTTCTTTTTGCTGTTTTGGAAATACCAAGTCTTCCTCTGCTTCCACCGGCGGGTACTGCCTTCTGTACCACAGCCAGCGTAGCCGCTTAGCCGCTGCTTGCTGATTTGCTGAACGATTTCCATCGTGTGCGACCATAAAGGACCACAAATTTTACGCAAAACCTTTCTCTCGAAAACTCCTAACGCCGACTCATCAGATGTTGTCGTCGTCCGTGCTTCTGCACCATATAGCAGAAGTTTGGTTTTCGTTCGTCGGGAGACGACTTTACTTTTCAATTGCCTACTCATTCCAAAGTAGCACCTGTTGACAAGAGTGGTTTCACGGCTGATATTACTGCTGGTGTTAATGCTGGTTCCTAGATAGACGAAATTATCTACGACTTCAAAGTTATGGCTGTCAACACTGACGTGGGAGCCGAGACGCGCATGCGATGACTGCTTGTGTGATAATAGGAGATATTTCGTCTTGCTCTCGTTCCCTACTAGACCCATACGCTTCCCTTCCTTATCCAGTGTGGAGGAAGCCGAACTCACGGCGCGGTTGTTGAGGCCGATAATGTAAATATCATCGGCGTACGCCAGCAGCTGTACACTCTTATAACAGATTGTACCTTCTCTATTCAGCTCTGCAGGTTGTATTATTTTCTCCTCTCTCTCTCTCTCTTTTGGTATCGAACGGCTCGGAAAGGTCCTTCCCGATCCTGACGTAGCTTTTATGGTTGCTCAAGGTCAGTATATGTTTTGCGGGGATACCAAACATAAAGGCTGCTCTTTAAAGGCAAACGAAGGCAGCTTTAAAATCGACGAAAAGGCGGTGAGTGTCGATCATCTTTTCACGGGTCGCCCAATCACCAGTGGGAAATTCACTGATCTATATGCCGACAATGGCTCGGTTTTGGGTACAATTTCGGACTTTCTTTAAACACTCAACGGATTCGAAGTAATGACCTCTCGCATACTGTCATGGATTGTGGTCAACCCTCGTAGTACTACAATTTTTTTGATAGTCCATGTAAAGGACACTCCCCCTTGATTGATCATGCAAAATAGTCTTCTAAATTTTTTGAATTCCAATTGAATATTTTCTGAATACTCGTACATACGTTCACCAAATGATGAAAACTTCTTGTTTTGTTTGTTGTTTTTTGTTTGTTCTTGTTGAGATAATGATTTTGTTTTGAGAATTTTACTGTGAAGCGTCGTTAGCCTCAACTGTGACATCAAGTATTTGAATATAGCGCGCCGAAGACGTTATTGCGCCATCCACTTTGTAGTCGATTTATCGGAAGAATCTTGGTTTGAAGGCTTCCAATATCCAGCTCTTATAAGAATTGAAGTCGAAGTGGCCCGAACGAGATGGCAATCAATCCTGCCTTTTACACGGAGTTTTTGTTCAGCGATGAAGCTCATCTTTGGTTGAATGGGTAAGTCAATAAAAAAATTTATATC